GTTTGAAGAGTTCGTTTTTTTCTAAACATATTCTAAGGAGCTACTGTTCCGTAGCTATTCGTAATGGATATTTGCTGCGACAAGTTGAGCGATTCATTCTTCCTCCCTGCCTGTGCAAACACTAGTGGCTGTTCGAAACACGTTTGTCACAAGTACCCTTTCTATGTGAGAAGGGTGAGAGGAGAAGTAATCAACCAGCATGCTTTCGTTATGAGTTTCGGCACCATTTGGTGATGTAGCCCTTTTTGGATAGGCTAATATGAACGTTCAAAAAGGAAGCCAATTTCCCCTCGGCTTCTCGCAAATGAAATTTGTAGAATGTCACTGTTCGGGTAATTCGTTGAAACATTTATTCACCTCCTTTTCTGTTGAACAGGTGACAAAACAGCCGTTGATACATCTACAGGGTAGATGCCAGAGACCGACTACGGGAGCTTCTACCCTAGATGTGAAGACAGTGCCAAAACTCGGTGCCATTAGCTATCCCACTGCCAACACGAAATACTTCCTGGGCCAACTGAAGATTGAGCGGCTAAGGCACTCCTTTGAGAGTGCCATGAACGGCTGAATATGTAGACCATACCTGCTTAATGATGTTCTCTGTCTCATAAGGGCTTCACGAACAGCATACAGTGCAAAATCCTTCAATACATTTGTCTGATGTGCCGTTGCATCAAAGTTTTCCATTACGCTGGGTATTTGTAAAATGGGACGGGATGTGTTTCAACGACTGGTTGTGGTTAGGTAGACGCCCTAGTTCGTTCGTGTAGTTGATGTCGTTTGGAACGACTTACTGTTTTAACCCTTGGCAGAGTAAGAGCAGCCAGCTAAGACAACCTTCTTTCTTAGTGACAGCAGTTCTACTCCTTGGAACTACTCTGCTAGTAGCGCATCTAGCCATTAATAACACTAGCTTTCTATTAACCTCTGTCTTGAGCAATATGTTGATATGTTTTCGATAAGTAGAAGTTAACCAAATACTTCTTCCACAATGGTTAATGACTCGGCGAATTCTGAATTCTTAAGAGCCTCGAAAAGATAACACTGACACGTAATCTACTCACCCAATTACTACTTTTGTAATAACCAGGAAGCTTAATTTCAATCGCATGGTAAACAATTTCTTTAGGATACCCATCGTTCCTTGTATGTAATAACGAGCAAACCCACCCGCACGGCTTTCACTTCGATTGAGGAATGTGCCTGTCAACCAGTGTGGGAATGGAGGGAGGTGGGTTGGCTCAGGCCATATCGTAAGACTTTCCTCGTTGCAGTTCGATTTCGAAATCTCTCCCTTACGAGTGGAGTACTTTTCTTAACTTTAAGTCTTACCCAGATGTTCTTCCATGTACACACATTTCATGTGGATACAAAGTGGCATAAACGCCGCCAACGTATCCATCTCAGAACCTCTCACAAGCGATAACAACGTAGGCAGTACTCGAACTCATGCAATCATCTCCGTATTTAGTGTAAGCAGTGCATTTTTCTTTTGTATATGGAAGGTCATATGGACGCGTGTGGCGCGGTGGTCGGAGGTGCCCTGCAACACACATTGGATCGATCCCCTCGCCCCAAGCCCACCAAGCCTTCCATCGCTCCGGGGTCGGCAAGTTGGTACAGAACTTGTCTGGGAGGATAGAAGCATTGGCTCGATACATCGTTCCGCCACAGCAAGTCAGTGTAAAGGCCAGATAGGCATCCATTCACCTCCAAACGATGCTTAATGAGGTTGAATGCATGGCGCATCCCTCAAGGATTGATCCATATCGACAGCTCTATCCTTTTATCCTTTATGGAGGGTTATACAAAGAGTTTGGAACGAATTGGCACCGTGAATGATTTGGTGGCTGTTCAGTGAGGCAAAGATAAACCACGACGGAAGTGCCTGTAATCTGACCTGTGCTAGTGATCTCTCTAATGAAGGGCACCACACAGACACACACTAAGAAACGATAACTGTTTTAGAGGAGCTCCTTACTATGCGACTGGAAACCTAAGTTTTGAGGTTTTCCGCTAGGGCAGAAGAATGGTCTAGCCGAGTACTACATTGTTTGTCAGTGTGACTCTTTCCACTCTTTGAAAAAGAGAAGATCCAACAAAGTGTCAGTCATTGTGGAATATTTTATTAAGAATCTCCTGAACAGTTAACAACAATAAGCAACTTGTACACCTGGACGGAGAAGGATTCCTGATGGAAACGCCGGTCTCCTTCTCAGTTTGGGAAACCCTGCCGAGGGGATGAATTCCCCCGCTGTACATCGCAGTCCGACACCCAGGAAGACCTCCCAGCCACGATGAGGTCGTAAACCGTTGGGAGGAACAATAAGTAAGCAAGATTAACGACAGCCTCTTGCGAAATCTCTAAAGCTATAAAGCCTTGCCGATGTCATATGTCTACCCAAATGTGTCGATGTTAATGGAACAACTCGGTGTGTAAAATCCACTTTAATGATAAACAGTCCTTGCTCACGAAGAATACGATACGAAGAATAAATACGAAGAATTACTTGATCAATGCCGAGGTTAATAGAAAGTCGGTCGTGGGAGTCCTTGCTCATTACTAGTTTTCTGGGTAAGTCTTGCTGAAAGGCATAATTATCTCTTGTTCAGAACAAAAGTGAAGTATCTGAATCACTGACAACGGAAACGAAAGGATTTCCTGCATACTCCATGAAGCATTCATCCCCGAGGGCAAGTGGGAAGCGGGACGTGGGCGTCCGAGCGATGCAGCGGGCGCGCGATCGATTCCGCACATAGGTCGGGCGGCCGTTCGTCGTGTGAGACCAGCACTCTCGTCACCGCCAAGCGCCTCTGATGCCATGGACGATGACGACGACGTCTACGATTCCTCTGACGACGTTGACGGTGAGCCTTTTGTTCCTATAGTAGTTCTTATTTATGACCATTCCACTTTAAAGTTAAGAGGAAATATCAGTAGTCCTAACTTGAGTTGGTACTTTATTTCGGCTAAGGTGACATGGTCCACTAGACCCTTCCTAGGTTCTTCATTGTGTTTTCGTAGTTTTTTTTTCAATCATTATTTCAAGGGAGAAGCGGGCTAAGACCAGGCATAAATGAATATTTTTCATATGAGTGTTTGAGGTTTTTTTTAAATTGCCGAGTATTTCTTTTTTTTTCCTCTATACTTGAAAGTAGAACCCACAAATTTTTGGAGGTGCGGTTCCAGTTCAGTCCACTGTTTGGATTGTTGTCACTTGGCCCCTGTCGATTTCCTTATTTATTTTACTACTTCATGTGTACTTTCTCCACCCCCTTAGGTAGCAACTCATGCGACCAGTATACTTTACTCGCTCTTTTTCCCTTCTATTGAGATTTGACCTTGAAGACGCGGAAAAGTGGTCAGCTGTAGTTTCGTTTGTAGTTTCATTGAGGGTTAGAGGTTACAGAAGTGTCCTTGAACTATTCCTTAAACTATTCCTCTATGACTAGACATTTTTCTATTAGTTTGGAAACATATGCGAAAACTTGAAGTTTTGAAGCTGTTAATTAGGGGTTATCGTATCATGGTGACGCTAATTTTGCGTTATAAATTTTAGAGTTGTTTACGTTTAAGCTGTTTCTAAAACTCGTGCATCCTTAATTGACAGGGCCACTACCATTGGTTCTCATTTCTACTTATTTGTCATAAACCTTTCTTTTAGAGTACTACAATGCCTGTGATGATGACGTCAATCCAGAAGGAGAGGAATTTAAGAAGACCAATTCCGAAGACGCGGAATTCGAATGTCTAAATGTTTTCCAAGTGCGTTAGTTGTTCAGTATTTCTTCAAACGATGCAAACTGCTCGGTTTCTATGAACTCAACTGCTTCGAACTTAGGTGGAGCGAGTTCTGAATGAGAGCGTAGCATCGCTAGTCGACAAAGCCGCAATTCCACCAACTCTGGCTCGAATGCTGCTTCATGCTCATGAATGGGATGTGAACAAGGTTCTTCATGATTTCACACTATTTACTTCTGTCCATCATGCTTGTTCTTAGTTTTTTGATTCAAAGGTAAAGCTCATGACATGGTGATCAATAGGAATAGGAGTTGCATGAGGTTTTTAATGGATTAGGCACGGACATTGTCTGATCTCTAATAGTAAACGTACGGGGCGATTAATTCTCCAATGCCAGCAGTGCGCATTGAAACCAATACGTATTCATAACGGAGCTTATTATTTGCACAGCAGGAAGTGTTTATCGCGCTAGTTATTTCCGATACTGTCGCCAACTCTTGGCACACTTCTCACCAGCAATGCTTCCTGAAGCGCTAGAAGCAAACTTATTCGGAAAGTTATTACATGTAAATTATTGGTTTACTAAAATCTAGTTTCATTAGCAATTTCTGTAATGGGAAATCTAAAGATTTAGTAGAACAAATGGAAAGAAAGTATAATAAAAAAGAAACTCTGAGGCAAAAGAAACAAGAGGAATGAAAATAAATTGAATGTAGGATAAAGGAGAAAAGGATGAAGCTGTCGGTATTGATCACTCCCTGAGGGATGCGCCATGCATTCGACTTCATTAAGCATCGCTTGGAGGTGATTGAATGCATACCTGGCCTTTACAATGACTCGCGGTGGCCTGCCGATGTATCGAGCCAATGCTGCTATCCTCCCAGACAAGTCTGGTACCAATTTGCCTACCCTGGAGGGATGGAAGGCTTAGCGAACCGGGGCGCGGAAATCGTTCCTATGTGTATTGCAGGGTGCCCCTTAAATTGGATGTAGACAGATGAATCAATATGGGCCATTCGTTTTGCCTCTTTCCTTTGGTAATGTTTAAAATCTTCCAACTGCTTTAATGTAGTGAATTTTTTTTGTGGTAATACCATAGTTTTCAATGCATTTCATGCACATCAAAAGTATCACTCTGTCATTGAATTTGATTACACCGTTTTTAACCACAAGGATGCTAAGATATGGGCAAAACTATCCGTGGCTGTATGTATTATATGCAGATATGTGTTTAAATTGCTGAGCTTACACGAGGTTTATGAATAACCTTTATTCGACTGACGTCTCGACGTCTTCGACTTCATCAGAGCCGATGATCCGGGTCGATGCTCCACAGTTGTTCCTCTTCTCGATGTGATATCTTCATCTTCGTATCCAGCCTTAACTAGAGTTGAGCATCTCGAATGAGGCATAATCACCCAGAGGTGCTCTTTTATACAGGGATTTTGTTGTTGATTTGACTATCCGCTGGTAATAGTTTGTTTTTCAGCGGATAATCCACTCCGCAGCAGTCGGTATTATGTTAGCTAGCACAAACCGAATAGCTCTTTTATATGTAGTGTTGGAAAATATTTCCCTTTTCTATGTAGATACAAAGAAAGCATATCAATTTGTCATGTTCATCTTTTGGCACACATACAAGCGGTATCTGTTGCATGACTCCAGCTAACATGTTTACATATGTAACAAAATTTCTGATGTTAAATGCTAAAAATGAAGTAGGTGATATTTGTTTAGCAGTAGGCTTGTTTTGACCCTTCATTCATATAACTTTATAACTTTGCTAGATCTCGAACGTTTTACGTAGATTCTGAAGTGTTTTGAATGTGGGTAATTATGATTTAGAGACATCTTCTTCAGGTTGCTTCACTGCTATCAACTGATGAGACGAGAACGCTTCGAGTCAGTAGGATTCTTCCTCCACAATCGGCCATCCCTCGCCAGGATTCTGGTCCTTCCTATTGTGCAGTTTGCGCTGAAGAAGGCAACATGGAGAAGCGGTCGTTGCCATGTGGCCATGCATTCTGTGTAATATGCTGGCGTCATCACATCGAAGCCAAGTAATGTTTTTAAGTAATGTATTGTTAGTATTTTGGTGCTTCACTTGAACATATTGACAATGCCGTATTGGCCATTTTTAACTTTAAATTAACATATCTCAGTCTCCCCTCCTCTCTCCCACCCACCTCCCAATAGTTTACCGCCTCATCGTGGCTGGGGGTTGTTCCTTGATGTCGGGTTGCGATGTACTGCGTGGGGATTCATCTCCCGGCAGGACTTGCCTAGGTGAGAAGGATTCCGGCATTTCCATCAGGAAGCCCAGCTAAGAGTAGACCACTACCAGCACCCACGATCTTCCTGGTCAGCAAATCTCCCTTTGATCCACAAGGGCGGCGACTCCCTCTGGTGGTGATGACTTGAGGCGTACTTTAGCCAGGCTGACCTCTGGACTCTAGGGAGCCGCAATGGTTAAACATGCAAAACTCTGAAAAATGGAAATTTTGCTGGGGCTGGTACAACTAGTGGTGACGAGTCATCCAAGTATCCAAGTAGTATCTCAGGCCATAGAGATATTTATTAATTCCAATGAAAGCAGCTAGAATCTACACTTATTTGCCTACATTTTTTTCTTTCCTTTTCCTGTCATTTCACTACTGCAATTTTGATTCTTTATAGGCAATAATATATGTTTTTTCCACTTCTTTCACTGGCTCCAAAACTCATATTTCGAATGCGAAAGCAAGTTAACGAGCGGAATTCCCTCCCAAGAGGACAAGATAGTGTCTCTTAATGTTTCCTATGTGTTTGTAACCGCCATTATTTCGTTGGTAATTTCGAAAACCTAGGTTTCTTTATCAGTTTCTTTAGAAGTTGCAATTCTAAACATATTTTAATTTGGAGCGAGACTATGTAAAAATTATGTGGTTATCGAGGTAGGGTAGAGTCTGTTTCACAAATCCACAGAGTCGGAGAATTACTGTCCAGAAATCGGTTTTATAGCGAATGTATTACAGAATTCGGATACTGTTTCTTCGTAATTTCCGGTTTCTATGCAGATTAAACAGCCACTTTTTTTTCCAGAATTTGTGAAGGAGTAGCATCTCGGTTGGGATGTATGGAGCCAAGCTGTACCCTTCTTTGCCCAAGCGAGTTCGTCCTAAGAATTCTTGATAAGCCTCAATTTCGAGCACGGTTCGTCAAATCATTCGCTTTGACATTTCTAATCCTCACCTGTAGGTGACACCAATACTTCCTTCTTTGTTTCTTCAGGTACGAGCGATTTGTTTTTCGGGATTACGTATCTTCTCATCCTCATCTCAAATTTTGTGTAGGAAAAGATTGTCAGGTGTGACCTCAACGTCTGGTTTATTGTTCAGCTCAATATTTCCCTTATACCAATTGTCAGTGAGACGAGACTGTCGTTTTCTAGACCATAATTCGATCAAAGGAAAGGAAGCCGAAACGGGTCACTTGTTCTACGTGTTCAACGTCATTTTGGTGAGAGCTTTCAACACATTTCCATGGAGAACTTTTACGCAACACGTTTAGATTTTCTTTCTTATTGTTTAAGTTGACGTTTCTGGTTTTTTTCATACCAGATCTTTTCTAAGTATATCCAGTAATAGGGGAAGTAACCTAAGGAGAGACTTAGCAAAGAATGTCTTTATGGAGTGATCTGCTGGAGTCTAAATTTGATCTCCAACCAAGTGCTCAGTTGTGTTTTCTTCACACAAAAGTATGGTAGACTTTTTATTGAAATTACTGCTTCTGTCAGAGACATAAAGACTCTTCATACAGTGTTATGTTTCAGCATCTACAGGGTTTTCCCATTATTATGAAATTTTTCTTACTCACTGCTTAAATGTTTTCTAGAAAGTGCTGTAGACTGAGTTTTTTATCGAGGTTTTCGTCTTATTTCCACTAATAAGTAGTTTCGGTCATGTTGATTTCATCGTTACCAAGGATATGGTATTAAATGTATTAAATGGCAAGCCCTTTGTTTCAAATTTTTTCAGTGTTCAGTTATTCATCACATTGATCAAAATTTAAAAAGTAGCTATAATAAAGGACGGAAAATCAAAAGAAAAGACTTGACTACTGTAAATTTGTCTCATTAGTCGTGTTGCTAAATGTACCGGAATAGTGTTGTTCAGTAATTTTAGGTACTTTCTTCGTCTTTATTGAGGTTTGCCTAAGTTCACTGCAGGTTTAAAGGGTTCATATTTAGTCAGAGTGCTTTGATTGTAGTCAGCACTTAGTAAATGACTGAATAATTACTAGGAACGCTTATTTATTTCATATAGGTTCAATTTACTTGTCGTGTTTTGGCTTTCAATTTCATAAGCATCCCGGGAAACTGTGTTTAGCTCATGAATGGCGTGCCAACTTTCGGCATCGTTGTAAAGTAGCCATCACACTTCTCAATTTCAGTGTGGCATGTGGTGTCGACTATCATGCTCCAACGTCGTGTGAAACAATAAAGCAATGGTTGCTGAAGTGTGCTGATGACAGTGAGACTGCGAACTATATCAGGTTTGTTGTTTTAAGACTCCTAATACGGTTTCGTGTGACGGCGCTGATGAGTGCCAACCTTTAAGGCCGAAATATATTTTCGTTTGTATATATTTGTAGTTCCTGCCAACGGTTTGCCGCTTCGTCGTGGCTAGGAGGTGTTTCTGAGTGTCGGACTGCGGTGTAGAGTGAAGGGATTCATCCCCCCACAGGGCATCCCACGCTGAGAAAGAGTCCGGTATTTCGTCGGGAAATGAACCTAAGAGTAAGCCAATACCAAGATTCACCACCGTCCTGGTATTAAACTAGCAGCACGGTGGCAAATCTTCCTCTGACCCACAAGGACGGCGACTGCTTCTGGTGGTGACGACCTAAGGCTGACTTTAGCCAGGCTGACCTCTGGACTCTAGGGAGCCACAATGGCTGAACATGCGAAACTTTGAAAAATGGAAATTTTGCTGGAGCTAGCACAACTGGTGCTGACGGGCCGTCCAAGTATCCAGGTATATTAGTAGTTTAACACATTCGACATCGTACGTTCTCAGAACTAATTTGGTTCTCTGATTTTAGACGAGTATATCTAAGCTTACAATAGGCTTTGTCAGTTGAAGTGCTGTATTATGCAACTTCTCTTATGTTGCAACTGTGAAAATGACCTTTTGAACCCAAGGAGCGTACTTTTTCACTCTCCTTTTTTTTTTATTACGGCTTGTCTATTGGGGACTACGAAGGTATTATCCAGGCCGCTTTTCCCTTGAACAGAACATGATGGTGTCGTCCAGTGTGTCGATATTGTTTGTGGTTGCTGCACTTGTGTCAGAAATTTTGCAAATTTGAACTTCATGTTCGTTTTTCTTTCTCATAGCGATCTGAACGTTAAACAATGTAATATTAAAAATACACCTACAAAAACTGCTGGTGTATTGAGCGATAGAGCAAAGTATCTACCATAAATCTGTTTCATTCTCAACTCTAAAGTGCAGTTTTTGAAAAGTTGCGCATAGTTGCTGAGAAACCGTCATTGTCGCGAATGCGTTAGTACCGAGTTTATTTCTGTTTCTCTCTCTCATTCTTTTTATCTATCTCTCTCCTCTCTTTCTATCTCTGAAAGCGTATTACATGTAAGTGTTAAAAACAGTTTACCTTAATAAAATATATGAAGCTCGTGCAACAAAGTGGCCAATCTCGAACGCTTTCGCGAAATGATATAACTCAGCCCAAAAAAGGTTTAATTTCAGAATGCGAGAAATTCCTTAAATGCATTTTCAGTAGCGGTTTGGTTGTTCAATATTTGCTCAGTAAGTAGTCAATGTGTGTGAGAAAAGTGCAGTTGGTTGGCGAGTGATTTGATGAGTACGCAGATGAGCCAGGGTTTACTTGCTGAATTCCTACAATTTAGTGCTAGTCGTGTGCATTGCGATTGCCCATTATTGTGCAAGAAGATCGCACCTTTACTTTTGATCAATTGTGGATACTTAGGCTGCAGTTTTCGATGTATTTCATCGATTTCGTGGATGCACTTCTCTGCAATGGTCGTTTCGCCAGTATACGAATTAATACGTGTAGAATTAAAGTGTACAACTTTTTTATCCACTGCTCCATTTTATTCCTTTTCTTCCACGGCAGGGTATTATGTGAAACACAACCACAATGATGCTGAGATATTTGCAAAACTTGGACCCCAGGTCAGATCGAACCGCGATTACCCCGGGAAGCTCAAGTGTTATGCACGACACCACTGGGGCGTTCGTTCTGCTTTTCTCTCAGGCAGTATTTTAACCTATCTCAGCACAATTGTGAAGAACTAATTAAGCTGAAATCTACCAAACAAAACGTTTTTGAAATGGGTCGTTTTCGTTGTGTAAATGAAGCCCAAAGAAGGCTTCATAACTACGATCTCTTCGCTTTTCGTTAACTTCGTATGGCACCCATTTATTCTTCCACTCCCTTTTTTTGCGCTCTTTTACTCTTTAGATCTCATCGTTTCAGAATAACGGAGTGTGAAATGATTCTGCAATTTTTCTGGTAGTTGCTGTGAAATTAGCTTCGTTTATCGCATCCAGATTGTTATAACCAATTGCTAGTGGACCCGTGCCACCTTTTCACTCTGATCTCTAGGATGTAGGCCGCGTGTAAGCACAATGGTTAGAGGTGGTATGCAATGCACAGATGGTCTTCGTTCGGTCACGGGCCCAAGGAAGGCTGACCAAGCCATTCATCCCTCCAACGTCGGCAGATTGGTACCAGACTTGTGTAGAAGGATAACAGCACTGACTTGATACATCGGTGGACCATCGTCATCATATGGGCCAAATATACATCCAGTCACCTCGACTTTTGCTTGATGAGGTTGGATGCATGACAAGCTATCAAGGAATTGATCAACGCTAACAGATCCATTCTTTCCTCTTTATATCCCGTGCGAAATACTTCGAAATCACGGGAGAAAGAGCTTTCTGTCATATCTTGATGACAGTTTGTGTCGCTTCGGTTGCGGTGTATCTAACTTTGAGCATAGGTGTAATTTAAAGAAATCGTTGAAAATTAAATTTTATAAAAAATACTCAACTTCACAAATAACTGAGCAAGAAACAAGGTTAAAAACGGTTCACCGTAACGTTGTAGATGTTGATTATTCATTACAAAATCTATTTCATTACGACAAACGTGGCAATTTTTCACCTCAGCTTGAGTTACTACTGAGGAACGTTTTATTTCCACAAAGAGATGCATGATGTGCGAAATGCAGTTCGATGGTTTAGTTTTACTGAAGGCACCTGGTATTTTGCTGCTTCAAGAACACTGCTTATTTAGTGCTCACACGAAGGATTGCCCTCAGTGCCACTCTTGTATTGAGAAAAATGGCGGCTGTAACCATATGCAGTGTGCCAAATGCAAGCACCATTTTTGTTGGATGTGCTTCGGCGGTAGGTAAATATGTATCTAAATGTGTAATGATTTTTTAATTGTTCCTTTGGCGTGATTTGTTGTTTTTCTTACTCATTTTTTAAAATATAGATTGGAAAACACATGGCAGTGAGTACTACGAATGCAGTAGGTACAAGGTTCGTTCTAGCCATTGTCTTTAGAAAGTTCTATTCATGTAGATGTATTTGGCAATTGTGAACTTTTCAAAAGTTTGGTAAGTTGATTGGATTATCTTATAGGAGAATCCTTCTGTGGCTGCGGAAGCAAATCATGTCAAAGCAAGACGAGCACTGGAAAAATATCTTCACTATTATGAACGCTTCGAAAATCACAGCAAATCCTTGAAATTGGAACAGCAACTGCGTGATAAGATTCAGAAGAAGATTGAAACAAAAGTAAGGTCATCGTGATAGAAGTTTGTATAACTGTCATAAAATGATTCGAAAGACCAACATTCGACTAATCTCGGCATTTCTGTCCTTCAGGCTTCCCTCCGGTTTACCCAATGTTGTTGGCATCTATTGTGAATTTCGATGGCTAACGTTTCGACGACTTCACCTTCTTCAGAGCTTGCGAGTATTGCCGTATAGCCTTTTCTTCATTATTCAGTGTATCATCGCTTAGTCGTCTAAACGTTAGCCATTGTACATCACTTCGTGTTAACATTCTCGTGTATGTTGATCATTAAAAGTTGGTAGAGTAGTGTAAATCATGAAGGGGTTATGTTGTGTTGGACTCTATTCAGTTGTTCATTGAGCTCATTTTTCTACTTATCATCAAGGCTCTGCTGAGACTTTATGGAAGGAAAATACTATGATGTGCAGGTGAATGATCATGATGGTACCTGGATTGACTGGCAGTACCTTCACAATGCTGCTTCCCTTCTCACTAAATGTCGCTACACCTTACAGTATACGTATCCGTTCGCATACTTCATGGAGAATGGAGCCAGGAAACAGCTGGTAAGACTATTAGTAATCAAAATGGAAGTTGGTCGGAAGTTTTTACTACAATGTGCAGGTTTTTGTTGGGTTCGTGGTACTTTTTCCAAACTATTCTTTATGTCTTAAAACTTTCGAAACTACTGTGCCCCTACTTCAGCGGTACATTCGATTGCACCGTCAAGTCATAGTTGACAAAATCACGCTTTTCAAACGCTTGATCGATGTTTAATCTAATCTATTCGATAGATGAGTGTCAGAGAAAAAAAAAGCGAAATAGATGGAGTAGCTAAACTTGTGTGTTGTTGGAAAAGCCTATGAGCTGTTTTCCGCAAGGTTTAAAGACTAGACGACTTTCAGTAGAGTATCAGTAGAATTATATGCGTATTGTCAATATTGTCTTAAATTATTCCTTTGGTTTTCATAGTTTAAGTACTAATGTTCTGTCCACGTAAAATGTTGTTCGAGGTTTCTTCTTTATGTAGACAGCGGTAAAGTGCAGTTATAAGACACTGGTCAAATCACTATAACCGTTATTGCTGTAACAGTTAATGTCCCGTCTGATGTTCTTAACAGAACTTTCTAACCACGGGGGTAGAGGATATTGTTACGAGTTGTGTTCCGAAGCAATTAATTCGTTCCATTACCTACCGAGTACAATGGCGTGCTTCGTGTTTTGTATACTACTGGCTGTTGTGTTACGCAATCGTATTAAGGGAGCAAGTAGAGCAGTGGTAAGTGATACCTTTCATTTCGCGGAGAGCCCTATATAGACGCAGCAAGCCTCTTATCCCTCCGAGGTTGCGAAATTGGTAACAGACTTGAGTAGAGCCAGTTCATTTGCTCCATTCCACATGGGAATGCCCTGACATGACGATGTTAGGATTCCAAAGAGAATCAACTCGACCACTATTCAGCGACATTCATTAATGAGATGGAAAAATCTTCATCAGTATCCTAACCCAAACATAAAAAAGTTCGAAAACTTCGTGAATAGTGTAACAATGAGACGAAAGGAATATAAAAATTGTTAGGATACACACATTGCAGTTGGTACATGTGTTGTTGGATCATATAATAGTAAATGAAAAATAGTTGTATTACATCTGCGTGTTCGTCGCGTATATCTCGATTTCGCCACTGTACCCATACACATGTTTTGACATAGATTTGCGTTCTTTATAGCTTTTGTCAATTCACGCAATTGCAGTTATCCCGTTTGTTGTTTTATTTTGGCCTTAATGGCATAGTGTTCGTGAATCGTAATGGAAGCGTATATAGCGAGCATGGCAATGTGTCCCATTCACTTCGAATTATTGTGGATAGCACGACGCATACCTGTTAGAGTTTCCATCGTCATGGGATAATCCGAACGAGCGGCAGATAATCGGCGTTAATCTGCCGCTTCTGTCATCCATTATATGATTCGTTTCCAGCCCTGGCATAGCTTGCAGTCATCAACATTTAATGTATAAACTGTATCTTGCACAGCGTCTTTCTATACTACTGGAGTAGGTGCAAGTGACTAGGTCATATTCATCCTCACAGTTTTTAAATAGAAGACTAAGGGTGTTGTCAGAGATTTGGATTGACTGAGAGATCGGTGAAAACGAAATATTCTTGCGCTCATGTAAGTGTAAATACGTTTGTTTGACAAACGGCCGAACACAAATGGTTGTAGGTGTCGCTGTGAGTAGAAATGAGAAGAGTTTATTCCTTCTTGCTGAAATACAGTAAGTCATATCGAAGTTAATTCACGATAATTGCCACTTTTTTGTTCAATTATATCTCATGAAGACTGCGTATTGACCTCACCGCTGTGCAATTGTTCAAAAAAAATGACCTTGATCGAGGAAGTTATGTATAAAATGTGCTACATATTATCGTAATAGTACCAGCGATCTTTCGAAAGTGTATGTCTGTGTGATCTCGTTTAAAAAATTCCGAAACTTTAATGAACGTACTTAAGTAACTTTTTGCCGGTGTCCATGTGTTTTACATATTGCTTTGTAAATTGACTAAATCGCGAAAAGTTTCAGTTCGAGTATCAACAGGCTCAATTGGAAAAGGAGGTCGAGGAGTTAGCATGGGCCGTCGAAAGAGCAGATTCAACCGCAAGGGGTGCGCTTGAAGCGCATATGCACCGTGCAGAGCATAAACGTATCAGCCTCCTTCACGACTTCTTCTTCTGAACGCTGGGCGTTATTACCACGAAATCTTGTTTGATGTTAGGTTGTGCGTTTTTTTTGACGGCGGATTAGTAGAATAGTTTTCCAGGGATTTTCGGCCACACTGGAAGGTAGAAACTTTCTAAGATGAGGAACTATACTTCTCTAAATTGTTTTGTGTCCGTTCGAAACCCAGGATCTAAGTTTGGAACATGTTCTTTCTTCGTCTTGTCGTTGTACAACAATACAGTCGTTGGATGGTGGCAGAATATGTCATCTACAAATCCGTCCCAGTGAATCACATTGGATGTTTATTTCACTTGAATATGAGTCAGAATTGTTTTTATCTGTACTACAACCCGTATCCAATGCTCAGCGACTGCTGTTGCTTACATATTTTGCTACCTACGGGGTTTGAATGCATTTTCATGGTCTGCCTGAAATAAATGCCTATATACAGCCGTTTTAAGCAGAGATGTAATTCTTATGAGTTGTGGTTCTTGTAACCCTTTTTGATTTGTTCAAATCTTATGTAATCCAGTACCGCTGTTGATATGATTCTTGCCCACTTGTGTATGGAATGTAATAGTACAGTAGTGCCTTCTTTGACTCATTTGCGCGCTCTTCATTTGCCGTGATATTTCAGAGATTTATGTGCGACATTCTGCTTTTTAAGGACTGTCTATTGATTGACTTGTTGATATAAATATGTATAAACATTGTATCTTTGGAAGGATTTGTTTCTGTACAAAAAAAGTATCTAAGTTCATATGAACAGTGGAAAACTATGACAGTGACAATGCTTCCATTGCATGTTGATGAGTAAAGTTCAGCTACTTAGCGGGTACAGTAATTCTTATACACAATAGTTCAGTAAGAGCTGTTTCTAAGCAAATATTTCTAAGCAGGTAGTGGAACTGAATAAATTGGTTTCTCTTGTGACCGGGAGGAAGCCTCTAGTCCTATCCTATCGATTTCGTATTATCTCCATATCATGAAGAGTATTCTACCACTTAACGTTATTCCACTCCTCTCCTCATCAACATCGTTTGCCCAACATCGTTATTCAGAATTCTTGTTGAGAACTTGTACAAGACAAATAGAATGTCAGGAGCGAAACCTTCAAGAGTACGGCTTTGCGGTGTTGGGCTACTGAGTGGGTAACTGTCCCAGACATAGAGAGCGACTAGTCGGATGTTGTGCTACAACGGATACAGTTATTGCATAGATATTTGGTTTTTCTTTTAAATTTCGCTACGGCTCATTGCTAATGGAGATCTCGGCTTTCGACTGGAAGTTCTTAGACCACTTTCTTCCTCATCAAGATTCTGTTCTTTGCCATCATATTTTTTCTGGGTGGTATCAGACTGAAGAATCTAATTAGGGGTAGAAATCGTTGATGGTTTGCACCTCGAGGATGGTGGTTGATTAGTGCTTATTTCTAATATGCATGTAAAAGATACATAGGAGAATTCTTCAGATGTTTAGACTGTCTGCGTGAGTCAATATGACTTCCATGTGATGTTTTAAGTCTACTACTTTTTGTACAGTGGCCACACTTAATTTTGATAAAGCTTGATGAAAAATAAAGCTCTCAACGTTGATCAATTCCTGGGGGGCACGCCATGCATTCAACTTCACTAAATACCGTTAGAGGTGATTCAGTACATATCTGGCCTTTAGTCGCGGTGGCCTGCAGATGTATCGAGTCAGTTCTGATATCCTCCGAGAAAAGTCTGGTACCAATTTGCCGACTGCGGAGAGATGGAAAGCCTGTGAGCCTGGGGCACAAGGATCGATCCCATGTGTATTGCAGGCAGCCCTTGACGACTGCGGTACACGGGCTCCTATTTAGTCTTGATACTGGGTGTAATTTCATTCAGATGAGTTAGGACCGAGAAATCTATTTTCACTATTAAAATTCATCAATTGCTCGCGTTCACGTTGTAAGTTGACGTACGTTATTTGCCAGCGATATGTTAACGTTGTTCAAAAAAATTACATTTCTGAAGTGTACCCATAGTAACCACTTCCCTGAGTACAGCTGGTTCTGGATCCTTAACATATCCTTTGTCAGGGGTAGAGAAGTCCCTTAAGCAATCATGGAAGCAGGTTCCGTTACGAGAAAATTAAATAGGAAAACATGAGAAATACTAAGATGTTAAGCCAATTCAGCTATTATAGAAATTCAGCAGTTGAAATCACATAGATTTTCTTCTACATGATCGTTATCACATCTACTGTTCTGATCCCAGCACTTCCTGCATTCGATTCGTTTCGTAGCATCCGTCATCCACAGTGGTCTTCGAACAATTCGCATGTTGTTTCGGCCGCTGCTTGAGGATTTCGTCTTTTTCATGATTGGCGTAGAATGCTGGTCGCGTTTTTCCTCGCAATCTTAGGAATAGACGAACCATGGCGCTGTCGTGTTAATTGGGGAATAACGCGAGGAAGGTGGTCGAGCCAGCACAGAGATATATTAAAACAGGGAAGGATTAAGTCGAAGCATAGCGAAGCTGGTTCACTGGTACACTGCTCTTCTTGTCTACAGAGGAGTCTATAATTCTTTTATGCCCGTCGAATGTAAATGGATAAACTAGGACGATATCATACCCTTTGGTTTCCCTCAAATTGATTCTACGCTCTCCTTCGTCTAAATCGTTGGACATTAACCACTATAACATGTTGAAGTTACGACTTATGCAACGTAGTAGCCTCAAATAGTGATACACTACGAAAATCGTGGTCGCCTTCAAATTCAAACCAGCACATCTCTGCTCACATCAGGCTTCATTAGTTAATAGAAAAATCACTAGATTCCAAATCTTCTCCTACATGATCTGAGTTACCCCATTCCACTAAGATGAACTTATAATTTTCGTCCGAAGCGTGGTGATGTTGCAGAGAGAAAACAATGAATCCTTAGTCGTTTTTACTTCTAGACGTGCATCGTTCCCATCTACCTCAGCTCCCAGCACTCCGTGATTGTGTGAAGTGTGGGCGGTTCCAAGGTCTTTCCCGCAGCGAGGAGGGTGTGCTCTCCGCCTCTCTACACCTATTCGACGAACCATTTCTGTGTGTTCTGCGCACCACCACTCCGACTTCCATTTCGATTCCTGTAAGAACTTAATTCACTGCATCTGGCAATTTAGCACCGACATTCTCACGAAAATGGAATCGATTTTCTGAAACTGGACAAACTGCGTGGTAGGTGTGGTTTATTGTTGAGACATGAGTCACTAATGTTATGTGTTCATCTGCTTCCGTACGTCGCTTAACTTCTCTACGGACAACGGGGTGGTGAAGGTCCCGCAATGGCACTGCATGAATTCACGGTTGTTATACAGTGCCGTGCATCCAGTAGTTCCATACCGGGCTCGTCGTCCGCGGATCATACGAGACATATTAGACATTATTCTCTCAGTGCACTGTCACTTATCATTCTTGCTCTTCTCTTACTCAATCACTTATTTACATCACCTATTACCGCTGATGTTCTTACAAGAACTCTCTTTCTGAATCTATACTGATTTCTTCTGTTGCTTTGTTCTCACAGTTCTATCGAGTTTCATTCGCTCCCTCCAATCGATTTCTATTTTTTAAACGTCGAATTCTATTTTGCTATTTTCTGTCCATTCCTGCTTAGCCGTGAGAGCAATGCCGATAGTAAGCAAAGGAATGTCATAACGATGCCGTTACAGTTATTCACTTCGAGGGTTCTTTGAGCAAAATCCAACCTGGCGAAGCTGTATTCTTTCAAACTTGCCCTACAGTTCATAAAATATTCAGAGATAGCTCTTCAAAGTATCCAGTTTTGCACTCAATGAGACGATTGTTCAGAATCACCGGCGTCACAGTCATGCCGAATGTTGAACCAACAAAAGGTATCGATCTATATCGAAGCGGTAAGTCAACATTGACGGTGAAACCATATAGGACACACATAATGTCGCTGGTTTTCGGACACACATAATGTCGCTGATTTCGAAAAATACCGGCTCATATTAATGTGTCGTAATACCACTTCACCTAATGTTACAGCGATAATCCATTCGTGTCAACATGCAATACACAAAAGAATAACATCAGTTGAAGAATTGCTTCCCACCTGCTTCCTCATCTCATTCTGGAAATAGTCAGGTAGGATTGATTAACTCACTTGGCTAAGGTGTCAACCTGATCATGCCGTTCTTCGCTAAGTAAGGAATTTTCAGGGTTCATTTGGAGTATTCTGTTATTAGAGCATCTAGTACACTCAATAAAACAGGCAATCCATGAGACTACTTTCCAGCGAAGAGTACCCGAAATGACACTTTCTGATCTTATCGTTTTCATACGACCGAAGAGTGTAATGTACGGAACCTACCAAAAACATGAAACTCGTCGTCAGTCTGCAAATCAACAAACGGATAACGTGCTTCTTGAATAGGAAAATTGAGGGGTCTGAGATCAAGAAAACGCCATCATTTGTAAAGTAGACGCAAAAAATACGTCTAGTTGTACTGCGTTTTCTGAATATCTATCCTGTCGATCTTTATTTACACAATTAAGATTTTTAAATAGCAATCGTTTTACAGTAATCCTCTGTAGAAATGACCCTGTTCAGGAATTCATTAGCGACAGAAATGCAATCAGTGAATATGTTCGAACTAAACCAGTGGCGTATGATGGTGGTCACCCATTTTTGGGGCCAGTTGTCTATAAACAGTTCATGAGAAGTTGTACATTCCAATACATCTTTGCCATTACATACAGCGAGGACGGTTCATTTCGCATCGAAAGACTGACTACCTCATTTATTAAAAAGGAATAAAAACTGTGATCATCAGTGCGCATTTCCGATATTCTTGCTAATCCCTGTACCTTCCTAATTATCCGCAGTGTACGTGATAGATCGGACGGTGGCTCATCGGTTAGCAGTTGGGTGTCGTGTGCAAAGTGTGTGTTCGAGTGAGGTAACTCGCCTAAGTGGGGGAAGGCAATGGGGATACGGTAATGTGGATAGGGGTGGAGAGTCGATTATTGAATAGCAAAGGTGAAGAGTGCACAACTCGGCATTGTTGGCACGAGCGACCTTGAAATCGCGAGTAATTATGCGCGATCGTAGACAGAAAACCACTCAGAGACACGCAGGACCATACAAAGAGAGGCTGCAATGAGGCTCCAGAACTAATGACAAAGGGATTTGGAAGTGTTCAGGACAAAGCGGAACTCAGTAGAACCAGAAATGTGCCTGCAAGAATCGTATGGAAATTGTGATGAAAGCCTAACATCGAAGAGCTGAGCAGATTGCATGGTATGAAGATTGTTGAGACGAGGGAACATCCACGGACGAATGCAAGATCCATCGAAGTAATGATAGAGCAGTTTAGAGAAAAGAAAGCGGTGAGAAGGAAGAGAGAAATTCATGGTCCCTTATTAATAGAAGGAGATCGACTGTGCTCGGTTAAATACGAAATGACTCAAAAAAGTGAATAAGAATTTCATAACAATAAATCGGAAGATATTATTTCCTAGAAGTGAATATTAAACGTATACGAAGTGAACTTTAGAGTGATACAACAGACCTAGGACTGACTGGAACAAAAGAGGTTAACATGTGAACTAAAATGCATGAAATATTTAGAAGTGACTTCTTTGAATGAGACGAATAGTCACATTGTACCTTCCAATATATGAGTTTTATTATATACCATCTTAAACAAACGATCATCATTGAAATGTGGAATTTGATAACTTTAATGACCATTTGTTTATAGGGAGAAAGTGCTACGCATCTTCCTCTACAACTCATTGGCAAAGCGTCTGTCTCATAAACACAAAGTTCGCTGTTCAACATTTCAAAGAAGAATATTCTGCTGTTATATGACTTGTGTTATCTACTCTCTGTATGATCGTAGAGTACTCGAACGGATGCCAGTAGAGGCTTCATTTTGTTTTACCAGTCGGTTGTTGTTGCTAGAAGAGACTCGCTGATACACAGTCGCTGACGCCTGTTGTCCACCGTTTGTCGCTGAGATCTCAGATCTTTTTAATCTGGGAACAGTGAGACAAATCGGCCTTTTTTATACTATAAAGATTTCAGTTTTATTATCAAACGAATCTGGACCACAGTCAGTGAATTCGTTTCGAAACCCTGATTGCTCAAATGACTGTCTCCGCTCCAATGTCTTGTCGATATCTTTAAGGTGACCCAAGTAAAGATTTTTAGACGAGAAAGAGCAAGGAGATTGTGTGATAGTTGCCGATGTCCACTGGGTTTCTCTTTTTGTTCAGTATAACGGACCTACTAGTCTTCTATTAACTGGCAAGACTGCATCTAGACAGATGCTACATAAAAGTCTGAGCGAGTATGTTAGCTGGCAGTAGATTCTTCAAATGACTCGGTCTATTATTGTGCTAGTCCGGAATGGGTCTTATATTACATATCCTTAAAAGTTAATTGTAACGTTGAATTCCGGATTTCGTTACCTCTTTTATTCTGTTCGTTGTTTTGTGTCCTTCACTCACACACGTCCTCGGATTTGCATCTGGGTTTGGCTGCTACTTGAGGATTTTATATTATTCATAAATGTCGTTGCCTGATCGAATTGATTCTGCCTCAAATCCTGGAATACTTCTGCTAGGACGTTACCAGGTCTTCATCAGAAGCATTTTCAAAGGGAGCTTTCTTCTTGCACGATACCTTCAACCACTGCGCTTCTATTGTCCCACGGAACAACAGAGCAGATAGGCTTATTAGATTGACTATTAGATTCAAACGAAATAACTACGAACCACCGACTAGGAGAGTTGGCCCGGAATCACTTCCAACGCACAATCAAAACATCTACTCAGAGTGGAGCTTAACAGTTTCCCATTAATATGCTCCTAAATTCTCCTTAGTGTTTTCCGGCCTAGCTCACAGGTGCTATATACAATGGGCATTTCTATCACTTTATAGGGAGAAATATTTCTTGGTGTCTACTCAAGTCATTAAATGTTCAACGGGTGGAATAAATGGGTATTAAAGTTCCTATGTGGGAAAATTTCGACCTCCTGCGTAGCACGCTTTACCTGTTTTTCACCACAGCATGCGGTCTGACATTCTATTGGCGACAGAATCAATAATGCTTGAATACAACTCTTACTTCTGGAAGTGACCATCCACCTAAACAACATCAAGCAGTGAGTTCTTATTAACCTTTATATCCGTCTTTGGCAAAGCAAACTCTTTACAAAACGCAGCTAAAACATAGGTTACCTAACCAGACATGTTTGCTATATGAACTGACCAACGACGAACCATGGCTAATTGAAGTTTGAATTCTTGCGATTTTTATAAAAGCAACCACACTATGAAAAACTGCAAAATTTGCTCACGAGCCACAATTTATGCGAACAAGTCGGCTGTTCGAGTAGACGGAATGCCACACCGAAATAATCGTTTTAATTCCCTTACATACCAACCCTCTCATCCCTCTGAAGTCCAGAAATTGGTGCCAAACTCGGCTGGGAGCAGTCCGCTTCCTGCTATCTATGTTGCTACACCCAGGCACGGCTATCCAAGGACTCCAGAGAGAATCGACTAGAGAAACATTCAACAACATTCATAAAGAAATAAAAATTCTTATGCAGCAGCCGAACCAACACGCAAGAAGTTGGAAGACCTTCGTAAGCGACGAATCCGCGGAAAGGAATTGAATGAAGGAAGTGCTAGGATCCACACAGCAGATGTAAAAGAGCGGTAGTGTTTAAAAAAAACACTGAGATCTCCCGGAGTTAATCTTGTCGAGATTATCACTACTGAGAGGCCTCCACTTCACAATTATCATTTCGATCATTGCCCCACGGCAAGTGGAGGTGGTATTTTAAAAGAACGGTTCTTAGTAGAAGCTGCATTAGGACAGTCATAGTTCTTTCTACCGAAATTGCTAGTGCAAACTCAAATACCATTTAAATGGAGTAGTTGCAAATTCCTTCTGACCATGTGAGAAACAATTACGAAACAGAAAATAAACAACGGCTCACCTGAGTGACCCCTCTTCATGAAGAATCGTGCATACCTGAATCCCCTATCTAGCATCCACGTTGTGATTCTACACCACTTTCCAAAACGCTGCTTTTGCAGTCAAATTGATAAATGTACATGGTCCCATTCACTGGTTGTGTGGTCCCCAGCATGATTTCCAGTCTCCGGAGATTTGCTAGTTTAGCAGCTGGTGTTCCCTGGAGTCCTGAGGACAGCCAAGACAAAGTGCACCAGGTCGTCACCACCACAGGCAGTGGCGGCCTTTGTGGATCAGAGGGAGATTTACCACCATACGACTTTGATACCAAGACGGTGGTGGAACCTGGTATTGGTTTACTCTTAGTTAGGCTTCCTGATGGAAATGCTGGACTCCTTCTCAACTTGAGAGACCCTGCTGAGAGCACTAATTCCCCAGCTGTCCATCACAGCCCGACACCCAGGAACACCTTCCAACCATGATTAGGCGGTAAACCGTTGGGAGACATTCCATGATTAATGCCACCATGTAATAAAAATTGGAATGATGCAAAAATCTGCTCCAATGATTCAAATTTGTAGAATTTCATACCCAAATAAATACTTCGAAACCGACTTTCTCTAAACCTCGGTGTGACTAATCAATATGTATTCTTTCTTGATAAGATTGCACGAGGTTGATAAATATATTTATCAACCTCGTGCAAGCTTATCAAGAAAGAATACCAAATAAATGTTTTTATAAATAGGTGGAACCTATGTTTCTGGAGAATATGTTCGTCTTTACATGGAGTTCTTTGCTTCAAAAGAACACAGTTATGCTTTCTTCTAAATCAAACGACAACATTATTCGGTTCTGACATAATTCATTAGCAGTAACGCTGCCGTCATTCTCGAACTGGTTCCAGAGCGACGAGTCACAGTGGGAAGCCTGCCTCTAGCTGAGCACAACTGAGAAACAAGAGCAATTTGAAATAAGAGAGATACGACCGCTTTCATAGTGATCAACAGCACGCTACACAAGAACAGTGAATATTCAGCATTAATCAAGCGAAAACGAACACAGAAGAAGCATATTGACCTATGTAAGGTATTGAAAACGATTTCACCAATCTACTTTCGTTGTACTAGATTTCTCCATATGTCACCTTGTGCAATCTATGCAAAAACAAAACCTATTCACATCACAAGAGTAGTTTGTGTAAAATGCATGGCAACTCAATGTGGTGTTCGATGGTGCCTCAGTGAGGAAATCTGCAGATGGGCCTGTTACGGTTTGTCACTCGAGAACTACCGCGCTTCGGACGCGGCGATCGACAGTGCGAATCCGCCAGGTTACCCAAAATTTCTGCACACCATTTAAGAACTGCATAGATTTCTACTCCAGTGAAGCGAACCCCAACAAAAACCAAGTCCTGTTCGATGGTCTGCTCGAAATGTTTGCACTATACACTTGTCTTCATGGATAAACTTATCCGTCGAGTTCCTTATTACCGAAAAGGTGTCTAGAGTTATGCGATTGTAAAGATACAAAAAAAATACTACATAACAGCTAACGATGCACTTCATACCAACAGATGCTTCCTCTATAATTCTGACGAAATATAATTTATCTTCTCACAAACTGAATATGATGCAACATGCGACTCAACAAACAAGTAACAAATGAACATTCTTAATAGAACAAATATCTTACAGGTCCACATTTAAAAAAGCGTTCCATCTTCTTCCATCGATTTTTCGAAACCCATTGGCGAAGGCCATCTCAATCAGAAACTTCCGTCCCCAGTTTTTTAGTTTTATATTATTATCACGTGGAGAAAGTCAGACATGAAAACTCGCAGCAGTTCCGCAAATTCTGTGGACCTCTACGTATTGCCAGTCAAAAAATCGATCACTTTTCACCACTGCTCATTGTATAACACAGATCTAGCACGTCTTGTCGTCCACCCTTGCTCATCCTATCATCGCAAATAGTGGAAAACCACAAACGAATACGGCATGCATAATTTCGTATAGAATAAGGAAAATAAAAGGCCAATAGTTCATATTGGACACAGTACAGGCCCAGTTTGTGATAAAGGTTAACTTATGACCGGATACCAGCGCGTCCGTCGTTGCCGACCAGCTTGCAAAATGAAAAGCGTTTAGCACTGACCAACCCCTGAAGGATGCTCTACTTGACGGCACTGAGCATCGTAAAGGTGAAAGAATGCAAATCTGAGCTATACAATGACTTCCAGTAACCTGTTGGTGTATCAAGTCAGTGTTTTATCTTCTGAGACCAATTTAGTACTAATTTGCCTACCCCGGAGGAATGGAAGGCTTGATGAACATCGCGTGTGCACTGCACGGCACCTCTAACCACTGCGTTACAAGCCGCTCATTGCAGTGTGTATATGCATTACTGCAGGTGTGACTGCAGACTGCAAAATGGATGTGAAATAAAAAGATAACAACACTTTATCACTGTTCTTAAAGACGAAGTATGTTGAACAACAATGATGAGCGCATAAATTGTGAGTACTGAGCCGTTCTGAAGAAACTTCGATGATCTTAATTACATCTTATCGCAGCGAAAAGCTCTTCCTAACTGTCGAATTCCAGCGTTCACGTAGAGGCACTTCTGCCCGTGTTCACCGGCCACAATCTGTACGGTGCATACACTCGACAGTTATAGACTCCGTCGAAAAATGAAGTTGTCCAAAAGGTTTTGTAAAATATTAAGTGTAGACAAGGCCACGCCTGACACAACAGTGAACGGGTTATCGAGTGAGTACCAAACATTTGGAGAAAAATATGTTGAGCAGTATTCTCCGCCATAAATAAGATAGAATACAGCCGGTCGCAGATGCGTTAAAAACTGAGTAATGTCGCCACTCCAAACTTGGCCACTTGTTCATTAACAACCTTATAGAATCCATCCATTGTTCCTATGGAAAAAGTGCCAAATACTCGTATCCACGTCAGAAATAATCTTAACTTAGTACAATTTGTGGCTTCTGGAAATGTCCTCCAACGTGATCATTATTATCAAAAAAATTATTGACGTTCTCTTGTAAACGAGTGATATATCGCATACCTTGCGACACACTCAATTCTCAATCGCTCTGTCTCCAGGGATCCAGAAACACTGAAAATGGATAGTAATAGTTTCACAAAAAAGGATCAAAATAATGAAGTGCAATGATAATATAGTGGGATTCTAGAGTAATTGTTAAAGGCCCCATAAGTAATGGAAAGAAGGGTATAGTATAATGGAAGGCGTAAGCAGGAAGCCTTGATTTGGAAGAAGGATTAATGAATAATAACACATTTAAAAGCATACCAGTTTAGTACATGCTGAAGCCACCATAAAGTGCTTCGGATTCCAAGACACTATTCGAGGGTGGCTGTCATGTTCAGTTTCAATAGTAGCAACTCTTTTCCCTGTATTTAATTTCATCATTTTACAAGAAAAGTTCGCGAATGAATTACATTGATTACCAGTTTCTGTACACCAGATATGAATAGTCCTATCCGAAGAACCACAAAATACGAACTGAGAGTCAGGCGAAAAAGAAGCTTCCAGCGATTCCTGCTAAAATAAAACAGCTGATAGGAATATGATCAGGAACCAAATATACAGTTATGAAAATAGTTGGCAGAATAAATTGGGTGTCAAAATACCCCGTTCAATGCTCTGAAGAATGCGAAATTTGACGAAATATTAGCCAATGCAGAATAAATACTGCATCAACAACTTCGTGACTACTTATCAATGGAACAAAAACAAGAGGAAGCCCCACTTGGAACAGCTTACCTGATCATTTCTATGCCCTTCGAACGTCACTTTCAAATTTCCAGAAAACGCATCAATTAACCTAAATATGTCCTTGAATACAAGCAGTACAAATCCATATGCAGTAAACTAGGTACTGTTGGAAATAATGATGAAATCAGTATAGGAATAAATAACAATAAAGCTCGTGGCGTTGACCAATCCCTGAGGGGTGCGTTATGCACTTCACTTCATTAAATATCGTTGGAGATGATTGAGCGCATATCTGGTCTTTATGACTCGCCGTGGCCTACCGATGTATCGAGCCAGTGCCGCTATCCTCCCAAACAAGTACGGCACAAATTTCTCAACCCCGGAGGAATGGAAGGCTTGGTGGATCATGGGCGCGGAGATCGATTCCATGTGTGTGTCGCAGTTGCGCTTCCAACCTCTGCGTCACACGCGCCCACTATAGTCATACTTGGTAAAAGACGTATTTTCGCAAACTGCTGCAAGTTAGTTCAATTTATCTACGCTTATACATAATGCTGAGATATTTGCAAAACTCCGGACCGCATACACCTGCAGTCCGGAGTTTTGCAAACATTTCAGCATTATATACGAGTTATATTTCGCAATATACCCTGCCATTAAAAAGAAAAAGGCAGTAAGTAAAAGGGTTAAGATTGTGATTATCTACGTTTACATAAATAAATAACGCACTTTTGAGAAAAACAGTAGCTCCGTGTCCAATAATTTAGGATGCTCCTACGGTACTTCCATAATTTCTTACTTACTAACTTTTCTGCTAGGTGAAAAATAGGGTTTGAGCACTTTCTACAAACAGCAAATTTTTGGGTAAACAATCAATGATGACCCGATAACAAGCAAACTGCTGTGCAGATCGTACAATCGAATTATCAATTCTTGATTAATAGCTTTTCTACACTTTTAATCTGGTAAATTTGCCACGATAAAAATGTGCTATATCCTTTGGGTGAAATGTACACACAATAAGGAAATTCGACTAGTACTGAACAATCGTAAAAAATTAACTGTGCGGCGAAGCACACCTATATATTTTATAATTTACCATTCTTGTGGCAAACAGATAAAGGTTACGAAACTTGAACTCGTCCCCCAGTCCATGAATGTTGTTATAGAAGTAACCTTCACTTAACATCTGATTAACGCCTTTAACTCGTAGGCGACGAAGATGGGTTTCCCACTATAAGAGTTAATAAGCTTATTGATTTATAGAAGAACCTTTAATATATCGTCGAAAGAGTGTACATAATTTCTATAAAACGTTCTTCCAATCTTAAACTGCCATATAATTAGAACTCTCAAGGAATTGGAAATAGAACTTGAATCACCTGAAAATGAAATAGGGTTTATACAATAAAAAGTGAAAAAAAATATGCTTTCTGAAGTCTGGAAAATCAGAAATCTGTCGCTTTATAACAACAATGATGCAGAGATATTTGCAAAACTCCAGACCGTAGGTGTTTGGGGTGGGAGCATCTTCTGTCATTTTACTCAACGTTTTTTCACTTTTTTAATTACAGAAGTTACATTCTATCGGCGAACACCTGCACACTCTAACACTTTTATTTGAATCACTAAAGTTCACTATGAGCTAAGATATACCGATTTAAAATTAAAAGCGCACATTATTTTTCAACTGCATGACACCTGTAGGGGAAATCTCGGAGCATTAGGGCTAAGTATTCAGAAAGAACAATGTGTCAGAACTGCTTTCTAAGTAACCAGTGGTTCTAGAGCTGCCGATTTTCATAAAAACCGTATTCAAAAACGTTCTTTCGTCAAATAGGGGGATTAAACATGGGTTACGATAGCCATAACTACTTTCCGTACAAGCGACTATGAAAAATGGTCTGGCACACTATACAGAGAAAAAGTACCACTTATTCTTGGACACTATGCAGAGAAAAGTACTACCCATGAGTTCATAACCGTATATGTCACCACTTATCCAGAACGTAACATGTAGTGATAGCCAGATAGAGTGGAAAATATTACCCAACACCAGTTCATTTTTGACTGGATAAATGCTTTAAGCACTTTACATGAACAAACGTATGGTACCTAATAACTGTTCCGTTGGTATTGATCATAATATACTTGCCACAAGGAGAAAATGTCATCCCTGTCCACTCGCAGAAGCGTTCAGCTTCCAGTTTGAATGTTGTGAAAGGACCCTACAATCTCACAGTTATACAACCACATTGAATGATGTAAACAATTGCTTAAAAGTTAAGAACAACCTTATCAAAAGAACGCAAATCGTAAAGCTTCACTTGCTCATTATTTATACCCGCCGCAAATATAAGACCTTCAGGGTCAAAAGCAGCTATTGCTTTTCCATTTACTTGCATCAAACCCTGAAAACGCATAAGTAACGTTGATGATTACCACTATTTCCGCGTCTTAGACTTATTTGGGGATTAAAAGCATTGAGAACAACAAATAGAAGGCACGCATTACGATACCTGACAATTCTGAGACCTCAGATCCCACAATCGAATGGTTTTATCTAATGAACCTGAAAGAAATGTGTCATCAGCTGGATTCATGCTCAGGCAGATCACTCTGAAATAGCGTGGGATGAAGATTTCAGTACAATAAAACAAAAATTCATAAAGGACCAAAAATATTAACTAACTTCTTAGTGTGCCCAGGGAAATATCTTATATACTTGTTGTCATGAAGGGATAAGTAGCGTATAGTATCTGAAGGAAACGATTTTCAAAACAAAAATATTTCTTGAAGTTATTCTGCAAAGACTCGATGTGGATGGAAAAAAAGAACACGAAACCAAAAAATAAAATTTGTATAGAAATGGGAAGAATTACACACCATCAACTTTCGTTGAACAATGTATGGCGTTACTTGTGTTATGCGAAAACCGTATAAGATCAACACCATATTTCTTGCTGTTCACCTAAACTGAACAGTAATAAAAAGTAAAATAAATATGAGCGAAGGACAAACACTGAAGTCATTGACTTGTTCGGAATCAATACTTCTTGTCAAACTATGACTCAACTATGAACTTGCTCATTTTGAATAGTTCAATGAGAAAAAACTATGTAATTACATATCTAGGTACCAAAACAAGAGCTTTTAAAAAAGAACCCCCATATATTTATGGAAAGCATACCTTGGCTCCAAAGAAACTAAGCAGAATAACTCCATCAAAACCTCTCAACCTCAACATAAGGAGTCCAACAGATAGTAGCCACAGAATTATTTGAATAACATCACTGCATCCGGTCCTCCCAACGCTTCACTGCCTCGTCTTGATTGAGAGGTGTTCCTGGGTGTCGGGCTGCGATGTACAGCGTGGGATTCGTCCCCGCAGTAGGGTCTCCCAAGCCGAGGAGTCCTGCGTTTCTATCAGGAACCATAGCTAAGAGTAAACTAATACCAGGATCCACCACCGTCCTTGTATCAAACTAGTTGCATAGTGGCAAACCTCCCTCTGATCCATAAGGGCGGTGAGTGCCTGTGGTGGTGATGACCCCGGGCAGACATTGGCTTGCCTAATCTCGGGGCTCCACGGAACCACTGTGGTTAAACCACCAAACGGGAGAATGAATATTGTGCTGGCACCCGCACAACTGGTGAGCACATCCAAGTATTCAAGTATATCCGATCACTCGCTTCAGTCGAATTATGACCAATGATTTCGTCGAACGGGTGCTACTTGTTTTGATAAGATTGGTTAATAAACCCAAACGATTAAAATGTAAAGAATTTAGTGTAACTGTCAGCCAAGCCATCCTCAACTTCATCAACTACCGCTAGTGTAGGAACTTACTGTACATTCAAGAAGCGGGCAGTTAAATTTGGCGAAAAAGCCGCAACACATACATTACGAGTTCGTGTTCCTGTCTGCGTACTGTAAATGAATATTGAGTCGTCGTCGCTCGACGTGATCATCGTTAGACCATCTGCTGAGTAATCGATACTATTTATCTAAAAAGAAAATAAAACCAAGCAAAGCAGTGGTCGATGACATTTAACAATCTCATAGGCCACTTTTGAAACCGTTTGTTTAGAAACGCATAACGTCCGAAGCCATGTTTTCGACAACTGACAGTAATTTCTGGACAACACAAGCACTTCAAGAATTCAGAACTTTCTAAGAGTTGTAGGACAGAGTTTGCTCTTTCGCATTAATGCATTCTCTCAACAGTATACCGCCTCATCGTGGAAGGGAGGTGATCGTGGATGTCGGGCTGCGATGTACAGCGGGGGAGTTCATGCTTCGGCAGGGTCTCCCAAGCTGAGAACGAGTCCAGTGTTTCCATCAGGAAGCCAAGCTAAGAGTAAACGACTACCAATACCAGGATCTACCACCGTTCTGGTATGAAACTGGTCCCATGGTGGCAAATCTCCCTCTGACCCAGAAGGGCGGCGACTACCTGGGGTGGAAGACTCCACGGAACCACAACGGCTAAACCAGCAAAACTCCGAAAAAATAGAGTTTACACGAAAGCCCACGTAACCAGTGACGACGGGTCATCCTAGTATTAAAGTAAGTATGTAAACCAACAGCGGTAGCTGCAAATATAAGGCGTATACTGGAGACCACCATGTTCCCTTGTCGAACGAAACCTAACTTGTCCAACATGTTGAAAACATGATTCTTTAAACAAAAAGGCGAAAAAAAGCCCAGTAGGATCCAGAAAACCAGGAATTTACCTCGAGAGGACAACCTGCAACTTATGTGCAACGATCTATAGGCTCTAAAAGTGGGATTTGCAATTACCATGAGCAACGACAGAGAACCACGTACTCGCATCGAATTCTCGCTGAACTTCTTCGCACAGACGAAGTGCTGCACACTGCCGGCCGTGAGCTTCAGTCTGTAGCTAACCATGCCTGGGGACGGAGCAGAACAGTCCAGCGGAGACGATCGGCGTCGACAGTGGCGTGCTCTAGAAATATCCACTCCACGCTGAATTAGATGCGCAGGTTCCTTGCGGAAGTCAACAGCGTCGATCCTGAAGGGGCGTGTCATCCGGGCGGACGGATTCCTTTCTGATGTTCTTCGGGTTTTCGTTGGGTGTATGTTTCTGGATCTTAGAGGATGCATAGTTGTTGTTGTACGCTGTTGTGTTGCTGCCGTAGTTCTTGTTGTTACTGGTTTCATCTATCCTTAGTATTAAGTCACTCTTGTTATATTTTCAGAACATCCATTATCCGCGTGTTTTTGCACTTCTCTTGCAAATGCGTCGTTTTCTTTCTCAGCTATTTCGAGGTTCTTATATAGCATACGTTTACTTTCATACAAAAGACACAATACAACAGTAGCTGACGTTTCGCCGGTACCGCCTTTCGGCAGGCGTTCGACTGTATCGCCTTTCGCATTTAAACTCCAATGCCGAGGTTAATGGATAGTCGACCCTGAGAGCTTGTCTTCTGTTTAAATTTTGTCATTTTTCTCACGGTTATTTTCATTTCTTTCATTTAAGAAGTGTGTTAGTTGTAAATGGGGCAGACTTTGGCCCGGCTGATCTCAGGACTCCAGTGAGCCATAATGGCGAAACCAGCCAAACTCCGAAGAATGGAGGTCATACTAGGGCTCGCAAAACCAGTGACGACGGGGCGTCCAGTTGTCCATGATAGCTCAAAAAACCGACTTTCTATAAACTTCGGCATAAATAGTTGATATGTTTATTTATGCAATCTTGTAAACTGATCTTTTTTGAACCGATGCAAGGTTGGTATAGGTTTTCGTTGTCGTTGTTGTTGTGTTGTCGTTGCTGTTGGTGTTGTTCGTCGATGGCTGACGTTTCGGCGATTTCGCCTTCCTCAGAGCGGTGCTGGTACGAGTGGGAGTCCCACAGTGGAGATTAACTGAGAAAAGAGCAGGGTTTTATTGTGGGTTTATTATTTTAATACTAAGGGCTAGTAGATAATAAAAACACATTCGCATGTTTAGACTGTAGCACCTGCAATCTCGTTATTTATGGATCGAATTGGGCTAGAAGGGAAGTCTCCATCCGTCCTTGCCCATGAACTACCTCAGGGATATATGATAGTTTATAGTATGGTGAACATAGTTTCTCCTGCATTTTTTGTTCCCTAAAAGGAGTTACTCGCAATTCCCCGACCTTTGCTGTGGTATAGGTCCACTCTTAGGTGGATTTTTTGTGGGATTTTCGAACTGCTTACTTTTTGCGATGTTCCCTGAATGGACTTCTGCTCCACGTCGGAGTTTGAGGTCGAGGAACGCCCCTTGTTAAGAACGAGGCGGAAACCGTGAATTGAAACTTTTAACATCACAAGACCATGCAGTTTTTCTTTTCTTACATAACAGTAATTCAATTGTTGATAAACTCCATGTTTGCTTATCTCGTCGTGATCTTTTTTGCATCTATTTAGATTTTTTCAGCAGTTGGTATGACTGAAGGGACTGTCGACCAGCAGCAGTATTCTAGTAGCGTTGGAGTAGACGAGAACGGAGATGTGGTATACCAACATGAGGGTGGTGTTCGCATTTTTGATCAAGACTCACATCTCATCGATATGGATGGTGGGCGACTAATGGACGTAGTAGAACCAAATCAGTCTCAGGATGTTCAGTATGAAGAGGTTCATCCACGTTAGAGTGTTCTAAAAAGTTTAATTTTGCTCAGTGTTTTTTTTTCTCCAATACTATCACCGCTGGCCACAAATGAGCTTTGGACTGTGAGTTTCAGGTTTCGACCATGCAGATTCGAGGCGATAATTCTTCTAAGAAAGTAGTGCTCGGACCACCGGTAAAGTGGAAGAAAGTAGTGAATTCATCTGGACCATCACCAAGGTTAGTCTTTGGACTAGGGACAGGTTCCCTATATGCTTCATTTTGATTTAACCTTACCTTACCTGGAAAATCGTTGCAGGCCTCGTCATGGACATCGAGCAGTTGCCATCAAAGATCTTATGATTGTATTTGGAGGTGGAAATGAAGGAATCGTTGATGAGCTTCATGTATACAATACAAGTGAGTCAGTATACGTTCCTCCACAACATTGTTGGTCCTACACGCTGCTCGGCACTTCTTTCAGCAACTAAGCAGTGGTTTGTTCCCTCTGTCAGAGGAGATGTCCCAAGTGGTTGTGCTGCTTATGGTATCGTTTGTAGCGGTACACATATCTTTATATTTGGAGGAATGGTGGAATATGGGCGGTATCGTTTTAATACATGGATCGTGCTGACAATGTAGAGCGTCTTATCGGACGTCTTTTAGATATACCAATGATTTATATGAGCTACAAGCGTCACGTTGGGAATGGCGCAAACTGAGGCCTAGACCACCCCGTTCTGGATGTGCTGGGCCGTCACCGCGGCTTGGCCATTCATTTTCGTTAGCGAGCAACCAGGTTGTTGATGCATCCACATTATTCGTCCACTGTTTCCTAGTGTATTTTCGTTCTAGGTTTGTTATGTATTCGGAGGTCTTGCTAATGGATCGTCTGACCCCAAGCAAAATAAGACGATTTATCTTGATGACTTCTTTTCAATTGATATCCGTGGTCCTGTGGGATCACTGCAGTGGGAACAGCCCGTGGTATGTGCAAACGAGTGTGAAGCTGAGCTCACCGGTGCCACCTCCCATCCAATAGTATATATTCGCATTTCCAGACATATGGTACTCGTCCTTGTGCTAGAGAATCACATTCTGCAATTGTACATGAAACAGAAACACGTCGGCAGTTGGTCATATTTGGTGGTATGAACGGTTGTCGACTAGGCGATTTGTGGATACTTGATCTTGATTCGATGACATGGGATAATCCCTTGGTAAAATGACATGCTTAGTATTCCCCATATTTATTTGTATGCAATTTCCCCTTTTTAAATATTTTTCCATTAGAACTTTACAGGTCCGTTAAACATCGTGAGCTTTTCACGCCTTCCCTCTACATTTGCTTCAGAATGTTTTATTTATATCTTTACTTATCCAGAAATTGCCTTTGCCAAAAATTTCCCTGCGGTGTTCAGTGCTGTCAGAGTTATTTTCAGATTGGTGGAGTTGCGCCTACTCCACGTTCTTTACATACCGCTAATCTTATTGGACACAGAATGTACATTTATGGTGGATGGGTTGGTGCATTTTTTCAACTTAAAACTTACTGTTCCACAATTCTAAGAATCACCGATGTTAGGTGCCAATGAGTGAACGCGACAGTGAAACTGAGATTAAAGAGTGGAAGTGCACAAATGATCTTTCTTCCTTAAACCTCGATGAAATGGTGTGGGAGAGCACTTCTCATGTGTTCGACGGTATGCGCTTGTTGCCTAAGCCCTACTTGCAGATTCTGCAGTTTGCAACAATTCCTTTGCAGAGAACTTGCCACGAGCAAGGGCTGGACACTGCTCTGCTGTTATTAATAACAGGATATATATTTGGTCAGGAAGAGACGGCTATCGCAAAGCTTGGAATAATCAAGTGTGTACAGATGTGCTTTTCTTTCACTACTAAATGCTTATGGGTCGATATATGTAATAATGTTTTTATAGGTTTGTTGCAAAGATATGTGGTATTTGGAAACATCTGTGCCAGGAACGCCTTCCCGTGTTCAGTTAGTTCGTGCCAGCGTTGCTGGTTTAGAGGTTTGAATCATTTCACACATTATTATATTCCTTTATTCCGAAAAATTTCCACTCGGCTCTAAAATGCGACGCTCGTTGCTGTCTACTTCATCACGTTTCTTCACTTTCTAACCTTTGTTTTACTGCTCCATGGTATAGAACCTTAAAGGTGGTTTCGGAAATATCTTAAACTGTTGTTTTAAATGGCCTTTATAGGTCTCATGGGGTTCTCTTCCAACTGCAGAAGCATACCTTCTTCAGCTGCATAAATATGACGCCAATATTGCCACCCACAAAATCTTAGAGGACGAAGGTGTTGTACTGGATTTCTTCTTTTCGTGTTTATCTACCCAAATAATTTAACAGCTTTCAGCACCGAGGCCGATAACGGGTGTCGGCAAGCCATCCTTACCGTCTCAAAAGTTAATGTTGCAAAGAGCTACTCCCTCTGGCAATGTTATGAAGGTAAAAACGTTTTCTTTACTTTAAATCGTTGTAAATTCTAGTATTATGATGTTACATTTTTTTTCTTAGGTGATGTTGAGATTTTTCTTTTTTACACAAATGAACAATGGAAATCCTAGGTGGTTCGCACTGCTGGGTCAGGGCAACAGCTTCTGCGAGTCGTTAGACAAGTTCCCGGCGTTCCAGGAGGTTATACTTTGCCAAATACAATTAAGCCAGGAGCAAATACCAAAACGATATTTTTTTCGAAAGGGGGTGCACAGCAGAAGTGATTTTTTTAGTTATTATCTAATACATTGTTGATTTTCTGTTTTTAACCTCAGTTTAAGTACTTCTAAGGGTTATGTATGTGCAAGGTGGCGTTCCTGTTGGTACACCTACAGTTGTTTTGGCTAGAGGTGGGTCTACTATTGGAGAAGCAGATCAGGCCAACACCCTTCCTATTGCACCTCATCAGCAGTCCAGCATATCTACCCAGGGCACAACATATACTGCTCCTTCCAATTCACGACACCATGACGAGGTTCGTAACTCTAATATATGGAGCGTTTTCAGCTACTTATCTATATTATTTCTTGATACAAGTGCGAGAACTATTTTTTCGGCTCAGGCTGCCCTTCCACAGAACCTTTTCGATGAATTGCCAACAGAAGAACAGTCACCGCCATCGCCACCAAAGCAAAGGGGAGTAGAGAATAATTCACCTGCACCAATTCAACCCGATCCACCTCAACTGTCCGATCGTCTAGCAAGACCATGCTTCCAGGTTCATGAACATTCTTTCTTTGTGCATTTTTTATAATTGAATTTTTTCATCCATTCCAATATGCATATTTTGAAGGAAGCTCCGCAAGATCCTCAGTGTTCCTCCCAATCAATAGGACTAACGGAATCGCAGTTAATGGTACCGGCTGATCCTACGCAGGAGGCAAATAGGAACAAATCAACACAGGATTTAACCGAACTTCAGGAACACCAGCAAAATTCAATGGTTAGCGGACAACCCCGTTTTTCGAGGAAAATTTTTATGATGCTAGGATATTTGCAAAATACTCTGCTATTAAGAAAGAGTAGGCAGTAAATAGTAAGTTGAAATTGTGAAAATTTTTATGTTTACATCATTATTAGGGAGAAAAAGCTGCAATTGACGACCCAGAAAGTTCTACTTTTGTCATGGAAGGGCAGTCTTCAGGCACAAGAGAACGTATGCATGGACAGGTAACTAAAAACATTTAAGTCGGATAAAAAGTAACTATTTTAAGAGCAAGTTTGATGTGCTATAGATAAACTCAGATATCTTTGTTCACCAAGATTAGAAACGTTAGATTTTACATATTTTTGGAGCAAGGTATTTAATTTATCCAGATGACATAAGTCTCCCACGAATCTCCCTTGTAGAGGGATCTCTAACCGGTTAGTGGCGAAGCAACGCGGCGAGAGACCACAAGCGGATACTGTTTTAATTGCGGACAAAAAGCGACTTTTTGCTTCCCTGAGAAGTAGGTGGATCTAGCGGGTGGACTCCCAGTTTCTGTAGCACTGTAGCGCAAACCTTCTGTGTTTACGAAGAACATTGATGCATGCATGTGTGCTTTTGTTCTCGTTGACGCGGATTTTATCCTATGAGTCTATTCGGTTAAAGTATGCGACAAAGTTACGGGGAAGTTTGTGGGACAAGCTCCTCGTCTAGTCTGGGAAAGAATGGCAAAGTACCCGTGGGTATGCGAAGCCTCCATATGCAAAGCTCAGCAACCTACAAGTGGGCACTAAGTGCTAAATGCATTAGAGTAATTGGGCCTCATTCTTCTTCCATCTAAGGAGCCCCGATACTGCAGCGTTGGGTAGGATTAGTACAGAGGGCTTCTATAATCTCAGCCTTATTCTGACCTTCCCAAATCTCGGAAGACTAAGGTGATTTGTACTTACCATGGACGCTCACTTAGATCTGAGTTCTCGATAGAGGATTTGATCATGTAGGCGACAAGGATAAGCTGCGAAGTCATCGGCCTGGCTGAGGCGAGAGGACGCCATCCGTTCATTGCTGTCTCTGACACAAGAGAACAACTGCTTCTCGAAGCATGAGATAGTGGAGTGCAGCAACCCCGAATCGGACGTTTACAATTGATGAGATGTGTGTAAATACCGGCTTTGGCAGTGGTCATTATTTAAGTATCGACATTCACAAGCTATGACGAAGAGGAACTCAAAGCGTTGTAGGAGTTGGAGGAGTTCTATAGAGAAAACCGGGCGTTCTTTAAGATCACCATCCGATATTCAAACGCTATGATTGGATCGAGAAGAACGTCTGAAGAGCGTCACATTGGCATCGCGAATTGGAATGAAACGAGGAGGGTGAGCGGCTGTCCGAGTTTATCTTAACAACCGTGGCCATTCATGGTAACTCCCAATTCTAGAAGCCCCATTCTTAATACTGGAGGTGGGACTCTCCCAATGGAGAGACCATAGCGAAATAGACCATGTCGTAGTAAGTCGAAGGTTTTGCCTAACCGGAAGTCACTGCTGTGCCAAAATTCTACACAGAATCAGACCATCTCCTCCGCGCGAGATTTCACCCCTCGTGGAAAGGAGGAGAAGCCGCTAAATTCAAAAGACGAAGTCCCAGCACCAGCACAAGCTGGGACTTCTTCAGTTCACTAGTCGGTTATTCGGAAGGTATGTTATTGTTGACATCGACGTGTAATGCGATGGGCCCTTTTAACATCTTCACGTTAGCGCTATTAAAGCTGAGAGTTCGAAAGTCATCAAGTGATGTCTATCGCCAGAAAACACTCGATTTGATATCCCAGCGTGGAATAGTGCGAGTTACAGACAACCGCTCGGTCACGTCCTTTTCAAAGCAACGCAGACAGGCGATAAAAGAAGATTTTAAAGAGAGAAGAGCAGCAGTTATCGTCTAGTCCACAGAAACTTCGCCAATCGCAGGTCGAGATGATTGCAATATAACGTTCAGACGGAATATTTACAGCTTCCAAAAAGACTTGGGGGAAAATCATTCACAATGACTATTTCGATTTCCTCAATAGCCACATTCTCCTGTCCTCATATGAAGTAAGCGAGGTATATCGTTCCAGCCGTTTTCCCTTCCGAAGTGCGGCATGTTATTTCGTTGGATTATAAATCGAACACCTGGTTTAGGCAGAATAAGACCTGTACACCTCATCGCACATTATCTTTGAGATTGCAGGGGTCCTATTCAGAGATCAGTGATGACGGTGTTATTGTTCGAGAATGTTAACATCCACGATATCGGCAACTTTCGCCTAATCTTATTGCTGTTTTTCGTCTATAAACTTTTCTCGAGTCATTGTAAACCAGGGTTTACAGAACACTTGACGAAAGACAGCCATGTTAGACATCACGGTTTCGAAAGAGATTCAGTACGATGGACTACAACCGTACGATAACAAGACTCATTGAACTATTGCGATGCTACAAGAAACCTTTCTATTTCACTTCCATCGACTTAAATAAAACTGTCGGCCCGTCTGAGATAGAAGCAGTTATGCAAGATCTGGACAGTACATCCCAACTCAATATATAAAGATTCTTCGTGATCTAGACAAGAATTTCACAGTCATACGCATAAACCATTCTGTGGTTTGACATATTTGTTTTAACATATTTGAGATATTTGGAAAACTCGGGACCGCAGGTGGCTTAACTTAACCAGGTTCAATTCTGACTTGTGCTTCCTTGATCATTCCCCTTGACGGGTGGTTGCTTGGGACTATTTTTGTCCTAGTTTAATAATTTGTTGTATTTTATGATATAACACATATTTTCTCACTTTCAGGTGTCTTCTCTCCCTACAGACCCTCCAGTTATGACTGAAAATGTCCAACATCTTCACGGTGAAACATGCAGAGGTGGTGAACGGTCAGAATCCCAAACTCTTCAGTCGCAAGAGATGCCAGTCCATAACGAGCAAAGCTTCGCTTATCGCCTTCAACGGGAACGTGCTGAATCACCTTTTACAAATGTTCCCGGTTATCAAAGTGCGAAGCCAGTTGCTAATGAGGAGTTGTGGTTTGATGTGGGAATTATCAAAGGAACCACATGTCTCGTTACACACTACTTTCTTCATGGAGATCAATCACTTGAAAGCACATATGGGGTAAATCTGTCTATTGGAAGAAATCTAATGTTCGTAAATTTTAATCCTGTGGTAGATGAATTAATGTTGTATTGAACAACGGCGTCTTTTTGTGTTCCTAAGAGCTTTAGTGCACAGTGTGTAATGGTCTTTAGTATGCTGCACCTGCGAAATATTTGCAAATTTATTGAGACTATTAACACAATGCCCCAACTTTGAGTTATGCGTGACCCATGCGTGCCAGAAGGAAAGAATTCCTCTGAGCTTTAAACGCTCATAGCTCAACACCTGTTCTTTCATTGATGAATCCATTAATAAATCTCAGCTCATAGAGCTCGTAAACGAGTTTCATAAAAAAGGCTTCATTCGGCTAACGTTTTTGCGCCTTCTGCTTCTTCACATCCACATTGGTCCGAGTCAGTTGTCTATAGGTGCTCCTTCTTCTGATGTGCGTCTGCGTAATCGCATGGGGTCGAATCCAATGGAGCACCGTCCGAGTGAAGTAAACTCACTTGGCAGAACGGTTGTTGATAATGATTGCCTCTGAAGAAGACGAAGACGCCGAAAGCCTAGGCGAACATTTTTTATAAGCTTCATGTAAGGTTATCAGTGAAAGAACTTAATTAGGCAGGCCGAGGTTACGCGAAAGTCGATTTTGGAATGTTGTTACATTCACAAGTCAGCTTCTTATGGTGAGCTTTACTGATTTTAACAAGATAAGTTAGAGTGTGCAGATTTTCCCTACAAGGTACATGTGCTTCTATCCTACAACGACAAAGTTGATTATATTTGAAGCGAACTCATATGTCTTCGCTTTTTTTTCCGCAATGGCGCTGACATGTTGCACAGCAAAGCGATTGAATAAGCGAATTCTTCCCAACAGGGCATTGTGTTGTCCCTATTGTTTGGTGAATGTCTGCGGTTGGTGCGCTAACGTTAAAAACTTGGGGATTTGAGCTTAATTTTCAATGTTTTGAAAGTCTGAATCCTAAATAAATTTGAAGGAACTTTCTGCAAAAATTACTCGTATTCTCGAGGTGAAGTAATCGTGTTTGTTTTACATTTCTTCAATTTCTCCAGCGTGATACTCTAGTTACCAAAAATTATTGGCACTTGTCAGCAGACTAGCAAAACAGTGTATATGTTGAATTGTGTTATAGACGGATTTCGATGTTGGAATGCATGCAGGTCAAGTTAGTTTTCTGCAAAAAGCTGAACTTGAGCCGGGAACGGCTTACCGCTTCAGGGTTGCAGGAATAAATTCGATTGGCCGTGGCCCATGGAGCGAAGTTTCTGCTTTCAAGGTATTTAGGGTAGTCTTGTTTCGTAACCTTGAAGCATCCTTTGTCTTATAAGTGCAAGACAAGACTGTAATCTTTGTTCTTTTACTTCTCTTTTCTTTTGAAGACATGCCTTCCTGGATTCCCAGGAGCGCCCTCCTCAATAAAAATAACAAAGGGTCAAGACGGTGCTCAATTAACATGGGAGCCTCCCCAGAATGTTGCAGGTAGTTTCGATTTTTAAAATCTAGTTGACATAAATTTAAATTTTTTTGACATATGAGTTTTGTTTTAGGGGTATAGCAAAAAATATTTTCTTTTTACGTCACATTTTTATTATCCATTTTGAAAATAGTTGGCAAAATGAATCACTTATCATAGGACGCATTTCTGAGTACAGTGTATATTTGGCGGTACGCAATACATCCGGATCCAGCGACAACCAGTTGGCATTCATGAGGTGTGTTTTAGAGCTTACTGTGCAATATGTTTCTTTCTTAGTATGTCAAATCCCTTGCTCCTTCGGACGGTATACCGCCTCATTTTGGTTGGGAGGTGTTCATGGGTGTCGGGCTGCTATGTACAGCGATGGGGTTCATCCCACGCCAGAGCCCACCAAGCTAAGAAGGAGTCCGGAATTTCCATCATGAAGCCCAGCTAAGAGTAAACCAATACCAAGATCCACCACCTTCCTGGTATCAAACCAGTCGCATGGTGGCAGATCTCCCTCTGATCCACAAGAGCTGCAGCTGCATGTGGGTGACCTGAGGCAGAATTTGGCCAGGTTGTCCTCGGGACGTCAGGGAACTACAGTGGCTAAATCAGCAATCTCCGAAGAATGAAAATTATGCTTGGGCCCATACATCCAATGAAAACAGGCCATCCAACTATCCAAGGAAGTTCGAAAGACCGACTTTCTATGAACCTCGGCATAGATAGTTGATATATTTATTTATGTGATCTTATAAACTGATCTTCTTAAGCTGACGCGAGGTTGGTACAGATCTTCGTTGTCGTTGT